ACACCCATTGGAACAACTTTCATGAAGAATGTGGCCTCATCCGAGCTATGTAGGTTGCTGAAACAAAGCTTGCAATATGACCTACGAAACTGGGCTGGCAGGGGACTGTAGCCAAAATTGAGTTTGTCTTTAAGCTCTTCATCCATTCATCCAAATTAGGCCCTAACATGCATGGATTGCATCATTTACTATCCAAAGCCCTCATTATTACCTAAAGCTCAATGAACTGAAAGATAAACACAAAAAGGATTAAAAGCACAAGTTTAACTCAAAAACATAACCAAATCATAAGCTAGAAGGGTACAAAATGATATGTAAATATGCACCGATCAAGGGGTTATTTAATCTACAAAGCACTAACATTCAAATGTATGAGTACATGCATGGAATTTGGAATGGGCTTCATATCTGATTGCTAACAGGTGTCCATGGCCTAAAGAATAGAAGTTGAGAAAACATCAACCAATTAACTCCATTACTCATCAATGGTCAATTTATCCAATTTACCAGGATTGTTCATATGCTTTTAATTTTGTGAAGAAAAAAAACACTTAGGCCTAATTTATTTATACCAATTTTAGTGAAATCTCCAATCTAGATAAAAACATGCATGTTTTAAGCTGGACATAAATCTAGACCCCATGGCTGCACCACAGATGCTAGACAGTACAAATACATGTGCTTGTAGAATGAATGACAAACCGCAATTTAGATATAATAAACAAAATAAAATCCCATTTTGCTAACCAAAATGTTAAGCACTCAATCACATTAAACTTTAGTAATCAACTAGAAACTAAGCGATCTTTGTTTGGACAGTGATGAGCCCCTAAAAATTAAAAAAAAACCATTAGAGAAAGGAGTTATTTGTTCAAAAGGAAATCATTTTAGAATTTTGGCCCAGGCTCCAAAAAATTCAGGACCAGCTCTGGCTTTACGACTTGAACTTGTTCTCTTTTTCTGTTGGAGAACTCTCCTCTGTTTTTGGGAAGGGTGGAAAAATTCAGGATCATCTTCATGATCATTTTTAGTCGATGGATGCATCCTTTCAAGAAACCCAGGTGTTCGTTTTTGGAATCTTCTTGTGCTAAAAAAAAAAAATCAACTCGGTTTTCCAGTTTTCCGATTTTACAGTTTCAATGCCCACCCCTAATCTAGCCTAATGAAAAATGGCTTGAACTTGTAGACACGAGGTCTCAAGTTCAAATCCCTATGGCATCTTGATTGTGTCATGTGTGTGTGTGTATGTGAAAACCCTTCATCCCATGTAATTTAGATTATCGCTTGTACTAAAAAAAAGGTTTTAGGGAAGAATGTAAAGTGCCACTTACCTTTCAATTAGGTTGAATCCGTGAAGCAAATAATATATAGAAGTAATTTAGAAGTGCTTATTTTCTTATTACCAGTTGATTTAATATCAGGAATGTGAGAAAGATCATCCCTCTTGAGGGTGGAATTTGTGAGAGGGGTTATTTAATCTACAAAGCACTAACATTCAATGAGTACATGCATGGAAATTGGAATGGGCTTCATATCTGATTGCTAACAGGTGTCCATGGCCTAAAGAATAGAAGTTGAGAAAACATCAACCAATTAACTCCATTACTCATCAATGGTCAATTTATCCAATTTACCAGGATTGTTCATATGCTTTTAATTTTGTGAAGAAAAAAAACACTTAGGCCTAATTTATTTATACCAATTTTAGTGAAATCTCCAATCTAGATAAAAACATGCATGTTTTAAGCTGGACATAAATCTATACCCCATGGCTGCACCACAGATGCTAGACAGTACAAATACATGTGCTTGTAGAATGAATGACAAACCGCAATTTAGATATAATAAACAAAATAAAATCCCATTTTGCTAACCAAAATGTTAAGCACTCAATCACATTAAACTTTAGTAATCAACTAGAAACTAAGCGATCTTTGTTTGGACAGTGATGAGCCCCTAAAAATTTAAAAAAAAACCATTAGAGAAAGGAGTTATTTGTTCAAAAGGAAATCATTTTAGAATTTTGGCCCAGGCTCCAAAAAATTCAGGACCAGCTCTGGCTTTACGACTTGAACTTGTTCTCTTTTTCTGTTGGAGAACTCTCCTCTGTTTTTGGGAAGGGTGGAAAAATTCAGGATCATCTTCATGATCATTTTTAGTCGATGGATGCATCCTTTCAAGAAACCCAGGTGTTCGTTTTTGGAATCTTCTTGTGCTAGACGTTCCTCCACCACCTTTTATAGCAAGAAACCCATCTTTACCTGTAAAAAGATTACCATAAAATATTAGAAGCAAGAACAGAGTGGCAGAAAAGAATATGGAACTTTGCAGTCGATTGACTTCTCAAATATCATTTCAAAAGGTGCAGAGTTTCTTGGTCTAATAAAAAATGGAACCACATTGTGTAAGTTGATGTTGGTGATCTTGTTAGTTTGATAGGGCAGATAATCTCATGAGCAAATTCTGTATGGAAAGAAAGCAGAAATTAAAAAACCACAAAAGGACTGATACATCTTGCAATTAGAGGAAGGAGTCTGACTGATCCAATTGGTTAACTGACTTGCATACACAAAAAAGAAACAGTATTGAGTCTTAAAGAACAATTGCTAAGGACCTTTCACCAGATTTTCAAGATCTTTTCACAACCCTTGTTTTTTCTTGGGGGTGGAAACTTGTCCAAGATTTCAACAGAATCGTCACTGGAATCATCAACAAAATCATCACTCAAAGAGCCTGCTGAAGGAAAATCTTGAAGAAGCTTGGCGTGTCCACTGGAAAGGCAGCGCCTTTACCCTCTCTCCTGCTCCACACGAACCCAGTTTTAGTTTCAGAGAGTTGAAAGTAGTATAGGCTCTGCTGCAAGGATGAACGTTTGAGCCCTTTTTTGTTGGAGAGAGAAGGACGTTGGAGGTCTTTAATTATGGAGAGAGAAAGTCTTGGGTTTTTGTTTGAGAGAAGGGCTGTGAAAAGTAATTGTGGGTTACTGGCAGTGGTAGTTGAGGAAGAACCTTTGGTTAATGACCTTCACTTTCCTTTTCTTTTTTGGGTCTGAATGTTAATGACCTTCACTGGTTCTGATGTAAAGTTAGTATATTTTACAATAATGAAGATAGGAAGCTTTTGAAACCCCATTTTTCTTCATTTTTTTCATCTTAATTTAATTAAGAATTCTGGTTTAAGTGAAATTTGTGCAGCTAGGTAGCAAACGGATATGAATTAATGCACACAAATTATGTCTGCCTAGGAAACTTTAGTTTGAAAGATGATTTATGCATCAAAATATGGTAAGTTGCACCTACAATAAATCCAGGATTGCACAACATCAGAAATATTTAACTACAAAGTGACTCCCAAGTAGTATCCAGAGATCCTCCTTAACTACAGCAAATAGTGGTCCATTTACATAGCAAAATGTGATAACTGAGCTCTTTGCATCCCTCTTTAAATGACATAACTTTGACTAATCAATGTCTGAAAATGTGAACTTTCAGTACAATGTCGTTTCTCTCGATGAGCTCAAACATACAAACATCTCCTCCCCTCAAACAATTTTCTGTCGCAAATGCAGGCCAGCCACCAGAAAGTTTAGCTGATGATTCTTTAGTCCAACCAATCAAATTCACACGCCACGATCTCTCTCTAACCTGAAGAGTCACAGTTTGTTTCCTCCGTTTGACGAAACTCCGGGCAAACCCAACTGGTACATGCTGCATAAGATGGATATATGGTACTCAACACAATCACTACATGGAAATGAAACTCTATGCAAACCAAGTGAGGATTAGTAAATAAATAATGGAGGTGATTTTGAACTAGTGCATAGACAACATATATACATATACACATCTATGCACAAGCAATGAGCTTACATTTAGTATTTATGTTTGAAGCTAAGTTGTATAAGTATGTACTTGTAGAACCTACCAATGACTGATATGTTGGCCCTAAAGTGGCTCTAAAGGATGGATTCTTTGGGATGAACCTGTTGGCAGCTTCAAGAGCCGTTGAAGATGAATTTAAAGGCCTTTGCGTAATCTGCTCATCAGTCTTCAACCCTTTGTACCTGCCTACAGTACAGCCAACAAAATATAGTCTGAATTCCTCAATCTTAATTTTGGGAATGTTGCATTCTCATGGGCTAACCAATTTCAAGAGAAGGATCAAGAGAGCAAGACACACCATTTTCACAAATTGTGGTGCGACCAGTTTCAACTTTATTTATGGGGCTTCTCCTTTTCTCAACTTGATCAATTGCTCCTCCGCCAAGGCCTGTGTTCCCCAAAAATTACACAAAAAAGAACAGAATATGTGTAAGTTACAAGGCAGATATAATGAGCAGATATTTCACAAATGAACAGATTTACCTGGCGACAAGGGGCAATCTTCAGCTTCGTTGGTGCGGTAAAAGACAACTTCAAGTAAACGTTCATTGCGGTCAATCAATACAAAAACACACACATCACCGACTTTCAAATTATTGTCCCTTGCAAAAGCTGACCAACCATTCTGGAATCGAGCCATTGAATTTTCATATTTGAATTCAACAGGCCAAGTTCTTCCATCTAAAATCTTAAGGATTATGTTACCAGCAGACTGTTTGACGAGATGTTGCCTTGCAAACGGATGTGGGAATTGCTAAAACAAAAAGGAAATCGGGAAAAAAGATAAGAATTTATTTGAAACTAGTTATGATTCTGCTCTTTGAGGGGGAAGTGTCATTGCTTAATATTTTTTCACACTGACATCAAATAGGAGTTAGCATAAGTGTAATGATGCAGCAAGGTGTTATATAGCAAGCTTACCAGGTACTGTTGAAGGATATAAGCCGGTTGAATGGCAACCAAGCAATAAGGATTTTCGGATTTGAAAGCATTAGCTCTCTGAAGAGCCAGAGCTTTTTCACTTTTAGTCAATGGATGCGTCCTCCCAAGAACATCAGGTGTTCGTTTTAGGAATATTTGACTGCTAGATGAGCCTCCAAAATCTTTCTTTGTGGGCAGATCAGCTTCTTCTGTTAAAGAATATAATAGGATATTACAAGACAAATAAGGTTGTATCCTAAATCAGAAATAAAGACCAAATATAACACTCCGAAGAGCCAGAGCTTTTTCACTTTTAGTCAATGGATGCGTCCTCCCAAGAACATCAGGTGTTCGTTTTAGGAATATTTGACTACTAGATGAGCCTCCAAAATCTTTCTTTGTGGGTAGATCATCTTCTCCTGTTAAAGAATATAATAGGATATTACAAGACAAATAAGGATGTATCTTAATTGTTTTGGTAGGAAACACAATAAGGTAAACAACACAAAGACCAAATATAACACTCTGTACTTTTGATTTCTGATTTAGACCAATGTGTAGCCTTGTTTTTCATTGCTCCTTTGCCATGGCCTGCCTTTCCAAAAGCTAAAAAATAAACACAAAGAAAACAGAACAAATCATATATGTGTAGGTTATGCATTCATAATGTTGCACAAACTCAAAATTAACAACTGATTACTTACCTGGAGGCAAGGAGCAATTTGCAGCTTCAGTAGCTCGGAAAAAGACAACTTCAAATGAGAGTTTAATGTCCTTAATCAAGATAAAGACACAAACATCCCCAAGTTTCAAATTATTATCCCTTACAAATACCCTCCAACCTTGCTGGAAAGTGGCTTTCAGTTTTGGATATGCAAACATAACAGACCAAGTTCCTCCGTCCGAAACCTTAAGGATGGCATTAGCAGTCTGCTTCGTAAGATGTCTCTTGGCAAACCCTGTTGGCACAGTCTTTAAAAAAAATTGGAAAGCAGGATATTAGACAATAAGAACAGTTTTGAAGAGAGAATATTGATTTATTATTTTGCTTAATACTTTTCACGCTACGGCTTTAAATTATTAGACTATGGAAATAGTTGTATTGTAACTTGTTTTTAGAAAGCTTACCAAAGGACCGTTTGTGATGTACGATGGCTGCATGACAACAGTAAAAGAAGGGTTTACAGATTCAAAAGCAATAGCTCTCTGAAGAGCTATAGCTTTTCCACTTGTAGTTGATGCATGCATCCTCCCAACACGATCTTTGACCTCTGATGGTGCTAATGGAGATTTGTCCCCTGTTTTTGGGCAGGAGGGAAACGTGTCCAGTGTTTCAACAGAATCATCATCTGATTCATCTTCCTCTGTTCAAGATTATAATAGGATTTATTGCAAACTAGAACATAATGAGACAAAACACAATAAGAAAAAAAATTACATATTCCTTACTTTTCATTTCTGATCTTGAGCAATCTGAGGCTTTGTTTCTCAGAGAAGTTTGAGTCTTTGTTCGTCTAAAGTTGATGTTGCATTCTGCTTTACCACATGTTCTCATTTTCTTGTGCGGCTGAGGACATGGCAATGGAGATTTCTCCCTTGCTTTTCTTGGGCAGGGTGGAAAACCATCCAAGATTTCTACAGAGTTATCATCATCTTCTTCTTCTTCTTCTTCATAATCAGTTTTTTCCATTTCGGGCTTTGTTATGTGATATTCAACCTCAGTAGATGTTCTATCAAATATTAAAACATGGAAGTTTGAGTTCCCTTCGTATCCAAAGACTAGCCAATTAGCGTAGTCAAGACAGCAAAACTTGGAGAACTCTGGCCAACCCTTGTCAAACCAAACCCCACTATTATTGCATCTTCTGAGTTCTATTTCCCGTTCTGCACCATTTGGAAGTTTAAGATGTACTGGACTTGATAAATGTTCTCCATATTTCGTCACAAACTTCATTGGAATTTTCTGCAGAACAGAACATGTCAAGGCTTCAATAAAAATAACAAAAGAAATGAATATTTCAATAATCAGAAAACATTCTTAGCATAGTAATATAGGGAGAGAGAGAGAGAGGTGCTTACAATTCTGATGTTTTTAGAAGTGTCATCTAGAATGATCTTGAAGAAGTGGGGTCTGGGAGCTGAAGATGTTGGAGTGTCATGAAGAGAAGCCATGGCTGAATTAGCTCAAAAACTTGATTGAGAGATGTGTTTCAAAATCAAAAGCTTGAATGAGTTTTATAGAAGCATGTGAGACGGAGTTGATATAGTTCACTAAGCTCGAAAAGGAATCTAATTATTTCAATCAACAGAAGGGCCATTACTCCATTTTTTTTTTGGGGGAAATGAAGAGTCACTACTTATTACGACCCCATGCTTGTTGATTGGTTTTTATTTATTTATTTATTCATGTCTTTATCTCTTCAATTATTATTTTTCTTTTGAGATATAGTTATTTCTTCATGTTTAAACAAAAAAATATAAGTTATTTCTCCAATATTACCTGTGTGCCACTTATTTTTCTTCACTTTGGTTCATGATTAGTGGCATCAATGATCAATCTAGTCGAACAGATAAAATCGGTCGATTCAAATCATAATTATCAGTTTAGTTTGGTTTTGATCAAGAAAAACTCAAAAGATTTAAAATCGAACCGGACCATATGTGATTTGATTTGGTTCGATATTGAGCTCTTATTTTTATTTTACATGTGTAGCACTTTATTACATAATAACACTATATGGATGTTGAATTTGAGGTTTGATGGACCTTAGGAGTTAATGATATTTGAATTGTAGCTATATTAGTTATTGAAATTGACATGTTGAGTTTTAGGATGGTTTGATCCTACAGAAAACAAAAATAGAATGTAGCAAGTTATGAAATTTTTGTTGTAATTGGGCTAACAATGTTGAAAAATGCAAAAAGGAAAGTTAATTAGGCTTAGGCCCAAACCAGCCGAACAAAATCGAATCAAATTGTCATAAATTGGTTTGGTTTGGTTTAGTTTCTTTCATGATTTGTGTCAAAACCAACTGAACCAAATCATTATATTGTAATTGATTCGGCTACAATGTTGAAGTGAAACCGACCCAAATCAGATTGTGCCCACACTTTGTCGAGAAGAACATTTTTACTCACCCATAATTGGTGGTGATCAAAGAATTGGTGTTTGGTAATAAATTTGGTCAAAATAATTTGTGCATGGGTAATGGTTGTACGGATGAGAATGTCCTTAGTAGTTAGACCCAAGCATTGTTATTTTGTGCCTTTTCATCGTGCACCTACCTAGGAATTAAGTTGATGGAAAGCTAAGACATGATAATAATGCAAATAAACAAAGTGTGTCTGTACAGAGAGTAGTGGTGGGCATCAATCAGGTTAAATTGACTAAATCCGTGAATTCAAATTATAATTCTGGGTTTAGTTTGGTTTTGATCAAGAAAAAGTCAAATGGTTTAAAAATCGAAATGGACCGTATATTGTTTAATTTAATTTGGTTTTGGACTATTGTAAACCGGCTTAAACCGAACCGAATTGTCTACTTATATATTTATTTATTTTATTTTATTTTGCACATGTAGTCCTTTAATTAGATATAACTAGATATGAATATTGAATTTGAAGTTTGATAGACCTTTGAAGTTATTGATATTTGAATTTTAGCTATATTAGTTATTGAAATTTGAAGTTTTATGGAATGTTGAGTTTTAGGATGGTTTGATATACTAGAAAATGAAAAAAGTATATAGTGAGTTGTGAATTTTTTGGTTGTAATTGGACTAATAATATTGAAAAAATGCAAAATGAAAAATAATTGGGCTTAGGGCCAAACCAAACCAAACCAAACCGTTATATTGTAATTGATTTGGCTGCAATTTTGATATGAAACCGATCCAATCCGGATCCTGCCCAGGGTAAAGTGATCTTTTATCTCTACACTTGCGGTTCTCATTTCCTTTACTTCAATAATAATAACTCTTGCTGGCAACGAGGTCTAGCCTAATGAAAAGGGTCTTGACTTGTAGACCAGCAGTCTTAAGTTCGAACTCACATGACATCTTGGTAGTGTGTGTGTGAGAAACCCTTGCTCCCCTTGTACCTATCAGTTGTATTTTTTTTAATTAAAAAAAAAACTTGCTAAAAAAATCTTTGTGATTAACAATCATCTCCTTTTATACGATGTATCAATAAGATTTTGCCTAGAAACTTAAACGATAAGATAATGCACCTAAAACTCAAGATTTTGATAAGATCAGAAATATTACAAGTATAGCACAATTAACTATTGTAGGAGCTAAAATACGCAAACACATCTCCTTTCTTTTTCAAAGGTTATTAGCTAATTGTAGGAGCTGCGCTATTATGATTCATGAGAAGAAACTCATCAAAACCCACGTGAGAATCTTTTGTCCCCTCAGCCAAACCACAAACGTCATTGACCAGATTACGAGGCTCTGCAATATGTGCTAGCTAGCTGGTGTTTCCTTTTTTTAACCCACCAATGACCACAGCAGCATGCTAAGTAAAGTATTACGGACAAAGAGCATTTATTTATTTTTATCATTTCCACGTCTGGGATGATGATGGCTTTGTATTTTTCCTGAATTTGGCATTTTGATTTTTACTTTTTATCCTGTTCATAATGTTCCAAAATATTGCAGAACCATATTATTAAAAGTTCAAAAAAAAAAATATATATATATCATCTTCAAATATTCATAAAATTAAGTCACAAGTTAACCGAGAAGAAAGCATAACATGATAATAAAAGAGGTCTTGCATATAAGCTAGAAACAACATATTACTCATAAGCTACCTTATATATGCATCATTCTTCATCTTCAACTCGGAAGATGCCAACTTTGAATGCAATTTTATCAGGGCCCTTATTTATGAGCTCAAACACACAGGCATCACCTTCTTCCAAATGATTGTCCTTCACAAATGCCCCCCAACCAAAATTGTGGAAGCTTGTTCTTGAACTCCCATTGTATACAGTGGTAATGCACTTGACTGGCCAAGATCTCTCATCATTTGAGATCTGCAGGGTCACATCTGATGAAACACCTCTTGCACATATGTATTTGTTGGCAAAGGGTACACTGATTGGCTTCAAACATAAGAAAACACAAAACAAGAGAACCAAATTACCAAACCAAAATTGAAATATATATATCATTGTGTCCAGCTCGTTTCTCTCCTGACCTCATTAGGGTTGCTTACCAGGTGAGTTGATAAGTATGATAGATGCATTTTCATCACAAAAAATGGATTGTTAGATTTGAAGCTTAAAGCTTTTGAGTATGCTAAATCTTCAAGTTCTGTCTTTGCAAAAGTTCTCAATGGAGCCTCTGATGCAGTAGACTTTCCTCCATGATCAGCACCTGTTTAGCTCCCATGATTCAAAACCATGACAAGTCACCAAAGAAAAGAAGAACCAAAAAATATCATAACCAAATTTACAGAATTCTCTAAGGACTAGGTGAACTTACCATGAGTTCTTTTTTCCCTGTCATGCTTATTTCCTTCACCTTCAGTTTCACTACTTGGATTGGAATTGCCTTCAGCTTCATCATCAGTGCTTGAACTGAAATACTCCAACTCTAGAGTATTTCTCATGAAAATGCGAATTCATATCTGAAGATTAACAAGCAACCATGCTTTAGGGAGTAGAATTTCGCGAATTCTGGCCATCCCTTTTGCATCCAAATCTCTCCGTTGCAGGGCCTAGTTAGTTTTACTGGCCAAACTGCACCATCTGGAACCTCAAGGAATATTTTGTCCGCCATCAAATCTCCATATTCCATCACAACCATCTTTGGAATTTTCTACAATATTAACAACTTCCTCAAATTAAGATATGTTCATGTATAAAATATGTGCATGAAAAATAAATAAATAAAAAGGATACAAAGATCGGACTACTTGCGGCATGCAGCTGGTTAATTTCCTTTGAGTATGAGTTACCCTTTGAAAACTAATTAAATTTAGGGTTAAAGAGTATAACATTCTCTTTTTCTTTTAGATGAAAAAGGAAAACATGTTAAGGTCTGAAAAGAAGACTGACAAGGAGAATAAAGATGAAGAAAAAGCTAGCTAGGTTTCAACTTACAAGCTTCCCATCTTGAAGAGCCTGCTGAACGACAATCTTGAGGAAGCTTGGAAATGGAGTGCTCAATTGAAATGCAGGGCCTTTGCCCTCTCTCCTGCTCCTAGAACTCATATGATCAAAGTTAATGAGACCCTTTTTTTTCTTTCTGTTTTTGTTTTTGGGAGGCTTTCTACACTATGGAGAGGGTGACTGATGATATATCCATTTGTGAAGACATCAGAGAAGATGGCTTATCAACCATGTGCAAATGCTGTGTTTTTATTTAAAGTAATTAATGCAGATGTGGATGGGTTAGGAACTTAGGACCACATTGATCAGGACTTTTTTGATATGCAGACATAGATGTACACTTTTTTTTTTCATATGAGCAAAAAGCTTGGCTCTTTAGGAGCTCCTCCTTAAAGCAAATGAGATTTTGACACTTGTTAAATTCCAAAACAAAGAAAGTTGGAAGAATTTCAAAAAGGGGAAAAGTTAAATGAAAGAGACAAGTGTCAAAACGTCATTTGTTTTGAGAATGAGCTCATTCTCAGTTTTAAGGAGCCAAGATTTTTCCTTTTCGTATTTGTTTCCCCTCATGTACGTAGGTGAAGTCATAAGTATACATAGGCAAGGCGCAGTCCCATGAAACATTGGCAAGGGTTGCAATTCGTGATACTCTTATTTTAGTATATAATAATTAAGTTAATGTTTAAAGCAAATTAAGTTGTACAAAATTTTAAATAAATAAACTTTTAAAGGTATTGTGACCAATAATCAGCATCTGAAAATGTTTACTACAAATGTCGATAAGGAAAAAGACGCAAACATCTCCTTCTTTTAACCAATTTTCCTTTGCAAATGCTACCCAGCCAGCACTAAATCGATCGTTTAGAGGATGGAAAATCAGTCTCACAGGCCATGATCTATCTCCAACCCAAAGCATCACCAATTGATTCTCCATTACAGTGAAATGCTTCCCAAAACTAACTGGAACATGCTGCATAACATAGATAAGATAGTAAATAATAATTAAAACATAACAACCAATTAATAAAGTATTTTAAAAAGAGAAATTCAGATTATGCCATTCAATGGGTATAGCCGCGCGGCTATACTTAAAAAATCTATTTAAAGCGCATAGCCACACGGCTATACAGCTGAAATTTTATATTCATGGAGCATAGCCGCGCGGCTATACTCTCTTAACGAAAACACGCACCAAGCGCTGTGCTAGTCCTTTTTTCTAAATAGTATAGCCGCACGGCGATACACCGGATTTTTTATCATAAAACCGCCGCGCGGCTGTATTCTCTCCAAAAACACGCGGTAAGCGTTGGGCGGGTAACCCGTTTTTTATATATATATATAATAGTATAGCCGTGCGGCGATACGCCGGATTTTTTTATATAAAAAAGGGTATAGCCGCGCGGCTACATGTCGGATTTTTTTTCAAAAAAAAGGTTATAGCCGAGCGGCTACACTCTTTTCACACGCTAAGCCCTGAGTGGTTCCCAATTTTTTTTTAATAAATAGTATAGCCGCGCGGCTATACTATTTTCACAAAAACAGGCACCAAGCGCTGGGCGGGTCCTCTTCTTTTTTATGAAGAAAAGCAGAAAACCTCAGAGAAGAAGATGAAAAAAAGCTCCCAATGATTAAGTTACAAACTAATCCAGATCAGTTACAACTAAGCTTACACAGGCTTATATAGCATTGCCGACAACGTTACTCTAATCTAACAATGAGCACACATGAGAACCATGAACTAAGTCTGAAACTTTCTTGTAACTACACAAAAAACGTGTCATGTCTACTTCATATAAAGCAATCTAGAGCCTCCCTGTTAATTAAAGTCCTAGACCAAGAAAGAAAAAGTCCTATATGTAGTGTAAAGCATGTACACATATATAGTTAAAGATAGACAATTGGGCTAGCTTACAAGTTTTTGGTCTCTGGAATTCTTGTCTATGATCATGTCTAAAAAATGGGGAATTGTAGCAGAAAAGTTTGGGTGAAGAGAAGGAGCTATTGAGTTGAGATGAGATGTATGTTCACAGACAAGACTTCCAGGGATAAAAAAATAAAAGCTTTGAGTTGAGATGTATGTTCAAAATGAAGACCTGTGGCTTCATTTTTATGGTGGATTTGTTCTCTGTTGTATTCATTTAGTTGCATGTGTGCCATCTCACATAAAGTGAAGTACAGTGGCAGGGAGTTATGAAGGCTCTGCCAACCACAAACACTTAACATGAAAGAGGAAAAGCTTGTACGGTTGTAGAAAATTGGGATTGGACTCGTTGGACAAATGTGGATATATATATATATATATATTTATTTATTATAGAAGATTGTGGAGATCGAAAGAAAAAGCTATGCCAACTTGCCAAGTGACTTTACAAGTACGATTTTGTTTGAATTGTTTACCACACCAAATGGTTTTGGGATATTGCATTATGACCAGATTGAGGCTAGTACTATACCATTGCCAAACAAAGCATAAACTTTTCAGAAAAGCAGAGGCATGACATGATGCAGAAAAACACCACCCATCAGCTCTTTGTGAAGTCCAAATACAGATGTACAACATTGGCAAAAAAAAATGGTAGAGAAGAAAATGCCAATTTTAACAAGATGTTTTTAGGTGCTTAACAAAGCATTATAGCCAAACAAAACAAAGAACATGCAAGAAAAGGGTAGAGATGTAATAATCAACATCTAAATATGTGTATGCAGGTGTCCTTTCCAGGAAAGAACATGCCAAATAAAATTTTGTGTTCAAAAAGTGAGTAACTGTATGAGCTTAGAGTGAAGCCAAATAGCTTGAATTCATCATGTTGAGAAAAATAAATCATTAAAAAAGTAAGAAGTTAAGTAAAATTAGTCTATCTCAAAGTATCAACTTCAACACATCCAGACAGACTTATAAGTAGTTACCAGTCACAAGTTCACAACAAAAGATGAAAGCATATAACTTGTTAAAGAGAGTTCTTGCACATGAGCTGAAAATAATAAGAGTCATAATCTTCCATGCACTACTGTGGGCGGCATCAGTCAAACTTGATCTTTATCTCGGAATATGCGAACTCTGAGTTTAATTTTAGGAGCCTTTTCTATCAACTCAAACACACAAGCATCCCCTTCTTCCAGTTGATTGTCCCTCACAAATGCTTGCCAGCCATGATGATGTAATCTTGCACATAACTGACCACAGTATACATCGATCATGCACCTAGCAGACCAAGTTTTCTTATCTGAAATCTGTAGGGTCACATTGCATTCGCCATCTGAAAGGATATGTTTCATGACAAAGGATGAAGAGATTCTCTGCAAACATCAGAGAAGATAAACATAGCCAAAAGGGAGTTATTAGTTACATATATGCTGAGAGATTATTCAAAATGTGTTGATCTTTGAAGGAGTCCATTGTGCCAAATTCGTGTCTCTCATCATACAAATGGAGTTGTTAGAGACCCAAAAAAAAAAAAAAACAAAGCTTACCAAGTGATTTAGAACATATGATGGTTGCATTCTGATCACAGTAAATGGATTGTCGTATTTGAAACTGCTAGCTTTGGCAAAGGCTCTACCTTTCAAACTTTCAAGTTTAGCAGTTCTCAAATCAACCTCCGATGATCTGTGTGAAGCAGTCTTTCCTCCATCACCACCTGTTTAATTATTCCAAAGACTCAATTTCATCATGACAAGTCCCAAAAGAAAAAGAAACATTCCAAAAGCATTATTCTTAATGAGCACTCACACAAACAGAACCAAATTTCCATATATACCAACCAAATTCTTTAAGGAAACTAGGTGAACCTACCATGTGTCCTCTTTTCTCCTTCAGTTTGATCACCACTTGTGTTAGAATTGCCTTCAGTATCGTCACTTGAACTGTTATACTCCATCTCTAAAGTATTCTTTCTAAAAATGCGAAGCTGGAAATGGGAACATTTCCCTGCATAGCTGAACACCAAGAAGCATCCATCTTCTAGGGAGTAAGACTTTGCAAATTCTGGCCAGCCCCTTCCTAAACAAATCTCGCGATCACGCCTAGTCAATTCAATGGGCCAAATTGATCCATCTGGAACTTCAAAGTACGCTGTGTCTGCTATATAATCTCCATACGTATGCACAGCAATAATTGGAATTTCCTGTAATTAACAGTGTCCTCAAATTTAAGCTGTGCATGCATGTTTATAGGGTAGCATATAGAAACACAAGACATATGACATGAACAAATAAAACCGTGAAAATATCAATGGACGTTATTCAGCAGCTGGTTTGAGTTAATTTCAAATGGAGAACAAGATGGATATAAGGAGAGGTGCATGAAGAAATCATTATATGAAGCAACTTGAAAATAAAAATGAGAAATATCAACACAAGGTTTCAACTTTAAACTGACAGACTAAAGCTAAACTGAGGAAATGAAGCAAAGTTATCAACTTACGAGCATCCCATCTTGAAGTGTCCTTTCCAAGATAATCTTGAAGAAGCTTGGAGCATTCACCAGAGAGGCAGGGGACTCGGATGAGTTTGAATAATCCATCTCACCATTTAAGTTGTGTTCTTCTTTAACACTTGAACCGAAATAGTCTATCTCTAAAGGAGACCTCATGAAAATTCTTACTTGGAAATGAGAGTGAAGCCCTTCATAACTGAAGAGCAATACGTAGCCAAAGGCTAGTGAGTAAAAATCTGCGAAGTTTGACCAGCCCTGTTGTAACCAAACCTGGCCATTACGCTTTATCAATCCTACAGGCCATACCGCGCTATTCGGAACCTTGAGAAAGACTGTGTCTCCTAGACAATCTCCATACTTTGTCACAACACTCTCTGGAAATTTCTGTAAATGAATAACTTCCTCTGAGTAAGATATCCATAGCTATAGGGTTTAGCTTTAGCATATAACAATAAGGTACTTAGTGATATGAACAAATAAAAGAAGGAAAGTATTCAACTTACAAGAACATCCTTTGACAAGACTATCTTGAAGAAGCTCCGAGAGTCCACAGGAAAGGCAAGGCCTTTGCCATGTCGACTAGATGAACCCATTGGAGCTGAGAGAGAGTTGAGAGCTAGCGTAGGTGTTGTGCTGCAAAAAGAGAGAGTTGAGAGAAACAGGCCTTGCTTGCAGCAATAGGAGGAGGTAATTGTTCAAATGCTATATTTGAACAACCCATTTCACCATTGGATCTTTTTTATATGATCTCAACCGTTTATTTTTTCATATTTTTCTTCTGTGTGATCTTATATTTATTTGGTTACTTGAATGTTTCTGTGTTATCCAG